CAGACTGCTCCTTGGAGGCAAGGATTCTGAAGCTTCATCTGACGTACTTTAGACATGTAGCAAGGAGGGACCAGTCCTTGGAGAGGACCATTATGCTTGGGAGGGTGGAGGAATGGACGGTGCAGGAGACAAAATCCTCAATGAGATGGATTGATTCCATCACTGTGGTATTGGAGATAAGTGTGTTAGAGAAAATAAGGCTGTCAAGAGATAGAGCAGGATTTAGGGCTGTTGTACATAGGGTCACTATGAGTCACAAGTGACTCAACGGCATATAACAACAACAACAACAATAACATGTGGGATAGATTCAAGGTCACATTTTGGTTCTTGTGGACTTGGCTTAATTTTCTTCTGCTTCAAATTGAACTTGCATGTGAGTAATTGTTGGTCTGTTCCACAGTCAGTACCTGGCCTGTTTTGACTGCTGGTATTGAACTACTCCAATTATTCTTAACCTATATGTTGTAAATCTGTTGTCAATATGTCAATATGTTGTTATCATATTGTCCATCAGGTAAGGTCCATGTGTTAAGATACCTTTTGTGTTTTGGAGTGGGTTTTTTTTTTTAAGTATTTGAGATGAATGAATCATTGAATGTAAAAAATTCAATCATTCTCACTAAGACTATATTTTCTGACTACCATTCCTTCCTCATTGTTTCTAACTTTTGCAATCCAGTTACCAATAATTATCAATGCATTTTAATTGCATGTTTGGTCAATTTTGCAAATTTGCAAGAGTTGATAGAAATCTTCAGTTTGCTCCTGTTTGGCTTTAGTTGTTGGTGCATATTTTGAATAATGTTTTTATTTACAGGTCTGCCTTGCATGCACATGAATAGAATCCTACCACTCACAACTCTGTATTTTAGAATGGATTCTGGAATTGTCCATCTAGGTAATTATGTAGGGATAAAGGTAAAATGAACAGGTCTAAAGTGCTGAAGAAATAAGATTTAGAGTTTATCAAGAAAATAAATACTCAACAAAAAGTATTAGAAACACAAAGTGAATCTGAAAAGTTTAGAGAAAGGGGTTAGTTATAAAGTAAAAAAAATCTTATTTTAGTAAATAGGTTAAACAATAATAATGCTCAAGAAATGAAATAGACATCATTCCTTTCTTGCTCAAAAACTTTTACGGTAACAGTATCTTGGTTAATGTGTCATTCTTGGTTTCATAAATAAAATATTTTATGATAATAATATAAAATGCCTCAGTGGCACAATGTGGTTGCTAACAGAAAGATTCTAATCTCCCCAATGACTCTGTGAGAGAAAAAGTTAGTGGAAAGGTTCAGAGCTGCTGTACATAGGGTCTCTATACATCACAGGTGACTCAACGGCACATAACAACAATAACATGCTATGACAGTTTTGGAAGCAGGAGTGGCATCCACTTCCTAAACAACTTGCCTCTGGAAACTCTATGAACTTTAATAAATGTCGATAGCTTCCGAGGGGCTTCAGGACTTTTGTTCAGAGGGTCACTAAGAGTTGTGCTTGACTCAAAGGCAATCAACAGCAACAATAACATTATTCCTATTAAGATTATAGGCTACAACATTTTATGGAGAGTTCTAATTCATAACATGGAGTCACTATGGGCTGAAATTAACTTGACGGTGTTCAAAGACAACATAATGGTGTTCAAAGACAACATAATGATAATACACATTTTCAGAACAAGCTTCAAAGGAAGGACATGTTCTTTCTTCTCTGTAAGAGGTAATCAGGCATTTACCTTACCAAGTATTGTCAGCATCACCTGGGAGCTTGTTAGTAATGTACAGTCTCAGACAACTACTGAATTAGAGTGTGTATTTTAGCAGTCATTAGTGATAAGCACATATGTTTGTGTTTGAAGAGTGCCACAATCCACCTTCTCTTCCAAACATGATTATATTTTCCTCCTATGGCAAAAGTGCTTTCCTGAGCCAGAAAGTTTTCAGTGGATTCTCAACTTATTTGAAGAATTATTGAGGTGCTTTTAAAAAGGAACTTTACCCAGATCCATTGCTAATGAGTCCATTCTAATTCATCGTGACCTTGTGTTGTTAGTGCTATCCAGCAGGCTCTGATTCATAGAGCTTCTGTGTATGAAATATTGAAATTCTATCCAATCCTGGACCAATCCAACAATGAGCTATGTTTACACCAACTGTTTCAGTCACCATATCAATCACATTGGGGATCTTCTCTTCTCTCCCTGACTTGCTTCTCTTCCAGAAAGGTTCTTTGCCAGAGCCTGACGCCTTCTGATGCATAACTTGCCTCAAGTATGTAAGTCAAGTTCTCACCACTCCTTGTTCTAAGACTGCACTTCCTCTAAGAAAGATGTGTTTGTTCTTTTGGCAGTCTGCGGTTTAATCTATATTCTTTGCTAATGTCGAAAGTCAAAGGTATCAATTCTCTATTTCTACTTGGATCCACAATCAACACCCATGGAAGCAGCAGTCAAGAAACCAAATGACGTATTGCGTTGGTCAGATCTGCTGCCAAAGATTTTTTAAAAGGGCTAAAGGACAAGGACATCAATGTAAGGATTAATGTACACCTGATCCAAAGCGTGTTATTTTTAATTGCTTTGTATACGTGTGAAAATGACCCTATAGGAAAGAATAAAGCTGCCTTATAAAATTTCCAGGTTTATCAGAAGCAAGAGTGGCATCCACTTCCAAAATAGGTTGCCTCCAGAAACTCTATGAACATGAAGAAATGACCAAAGTTATACAAGTGTTCAGGCCCTTCGTTCATAGGGTCACTATGAGTCGCCTATGACTCTACGGCACTTAACAGCAACAACAACAACATAATCTTTCTAAAAGCAGGGCTACATCTTTCTTCCACAAAAACCTTAGTGGGTTCAAACTGCTGATTTTAACCAGTCAAGCACTTAACCACTGAACCACCAGGCTCCAATTTTGGTTCTGCTTTTAGAAATTCTGATTCAGTTGATCAAGGTGACCTGGACCATGATACTATTTAAATCATCTATTTCCATGACCTTTCCTATATACAAAAAGACATTCTCAAACTAGTGCAGTATGTTATAGTTACAAAACATGACCAGTATGAAATCTTGACAGTCAAAGAAAAGCTGGCTGAAAAGTTCTTTCCTTTTTTTTTTTTTTACCATTACATCCATCAGAGAGCTAGATAATTACCAAAGATTACAGCAGAAGAATTGACACCTTTGAGTTGTGGTGCTGGTATTGAATATATCATGGGCTGCTAGGAGAACAAACAGGTCTGTCCTAGAGAGAGTGAAACCAATCTGCTCCTCGGAGACAAAGATATTGAGATTCCATCTCACATACTGTGGGCATGTAGCCACAAGAATCAGTCTTTGAAGAAGGATATCATGCTTGGAAGGGTCAAGGGACAGTATAGGAAAGGAATACTCGGGATGAGATTGCTTGATACAATAACTGGAGTAATGAGAGTAGGTGTATCAGAGACGGTGAGACTGGCTCAGGATAGAGCAGGGTCCAGGACTATTGTGCATTGGATTGCTGTGAGTCATAATTGACTGGATGCACATTACAACAGCAACACCATGATTGTCATACTTTCCTCCCTCAAACCCCCGCCTTTTTCCTTTCTCTTGGACACAGTTGCAAGCTACTTCTTCTTGGGAGAGGCAAATGGATCTATTTTTGAAAGGCTGGCATCATGGAGGTGCTAAGCAAGACATTTCACACAACTCTCAGTGAATCAAGGGAGACTTAGGAAAATTCCTTAGGCTTCATAAAGATTAATGCTCTATTATGTTCTGTGAACCTGGGGCAGAATTGGAGCTGCCTTTTCAGACAGCTTCTGCAGATTTATGTCTATGCCTGATTTGAATGGCATCCACGGTATTTGAGAAGTGACTCCTATGTAAAGTATATTTCAAAGCATATGAAATCACTTCACCATGTGCTACAACATGGCTAAATCTCCCTTAGGCACTGAGAAACCCCTTTAATTATTTTTCAGATACAACCCAAGGTCTTGGAATGAAAGGCTAAACTCCATAGTAAATTTCAAGCTGAACTTTTAATTCATTCACTCATGTGAATTTGTTAACAGCATTCATGATTTCTTTTGCTTCACTTTCTTAAATGAGCTCAAACCCAAAAAGTGAAAATGTCATTAGAAAGAAAATTTGCATTGTTTTCATTCTGGTTTGTATTATGTGCTGTGTTCCAACTGTATGACCTCCAAATCTAAGCCATTTACATAGCGATAGAGGCTCATATTCTGAGCACTTAATGTAAAGTCCTAACAATGTCCATCTGACAAAAACAAACAAAAAATTCAAAATTACTTACCCGATGTATGTATTCCTGTCAGATCGCATGGATTTATTGGATGCAGGTAAAATTGAAGCCATAATTTCTGAAAGAAAATTGATGGAAGGAAAGAGAAATATTAAAGTATAGATTCAACCATAGAAGTTCAGCTAATTAGATCTAGACTGATCCAATAGGTACAATAATACCCTGCCTTGAAACTTATGTTGGCCTCAGAAATAACTAATGGAAATTTCTCCTTTCATTTGGAACTCTCTCATCAACTAAAAATATCCTCCCTCCTTCAGAGTTGTGGCCTTTTATAATACAGTCCAGCTCTAAGAGCAGCTCTTTGCTGAAGATCGGCTCTTTTTGAAGGTGTGGCGTTCTATCTCCCTAGCCAAGTTGGCTAGCACATTAACTGTTGACTGGAGCTCCCCTTCCTCATTCGTGGCTTTAGTCCGAGCAGGCTTTTGTTACAGAACACACTTCTTTGCTTTGACACAGTTGTTTATGGATGCAAGCTCTACATTAGATCCTAGAAAAAATTCCACCAGGTTGTCTCAGAAATATGTTCAAGACACGTGAGAACTTTTGCTTATCAAACATTTCCTTTTCCACCCCCATCTTATCATTAGTCAACTTGTTTTCATTTTTTTGTGATCACAAGTGAGGAAATCATCCAATGTCAGGGCCTCAAAGTACTCCTTCATCTGAACTTTGCCCATCCAAGTTCATGCAGAAGGTCTGAAAATTAAATAGTACTTGTTTCTGGGGCCTTTTCATTTAGTTAAGATTGCCCTCAAGATCCATTGAGTCAACTTTCTGGGGTCAATCCAAGTAGAATATATAGTCTCATATTTTCAGAAAACATGATGTCTTTGTTAAAAAAACTCATAGATGCAAATGAAACAACCAGAACAGAAATAAATGAGAATGTTGACATATTGTAAAGAGTATAAACGATGTTACTGAACAATTTGTGTAGAAACTGGTGAATGGGAACCTAAACTGCTGTGTAAACCTCTTCTGAAAGCACAATAAAGTATAATTCTAAAAAGAAAAGAAAAATAAGCCCATGAATTCACTCCATTTGCTGCTATATTTTGGGGAGGGCCAATTCAGGATACTTTGGCAGAATTCCACCCTGCTTCTTTTTTGCCTCATTTCCAATAGGAGTCAGCTGAAGCTTTAAGCTAGTGAGAACTTGAACAATATTATTCTCATGAATTCTGTGTAATCACATCCTAAAATGTCCATGAATGCCCAAACCACAGCAGATACAAGGCATTTCATAATGTGCACTGATTTATCCTTAAGAATGTGCACAATAGTTAAAGATCAAAAGCTCATTGATTTGCTCGGCCTTTGTTAGAAGTTCCTATTCCTTGTGATGGGTCAGTCTTCACAGTATCCTTGAATTCTCTGCTGGTCTTCAACATGCATCTTGGCCAACCAGCAGTCTGTAGATGAATAAGAAAGAGACTAGAGAAGCTTGTTAAAGAATCTATGTAGCATCTTAAAGTCTGTTGCTGCTGTGGCAAAGTTTAATTGGGAAGCAAATGCTGGAGAGGCTGTGGGGAAGTGAGAACTCTCATACACTGTTGGTGGGATTGTAAAATGGTACAACCACTCTGGAAGACAGTTCGACATTTCCTCAAAAAGTTTAACATAGAAATGCCGTATAACCCAGCTATTCCACTATTAGGAATATATGCCAAGGAAATTAGAACTGAGACACAAATGGAGACTTGCATACCAATGTTTGGAGCAGTGTTGTTCACCATCACAAGAATATGGAAACATCCCAAATGTCCAACAGTAACTCAAATGATTGAGACATGGTGGTACATTAGCGTGATGGAATACTATGTAGGATTCAAGAGTAACGATTTTAAAAAATACTACATAACTTGGGAGAGACTGGAGAGCATTATGCTGAGTGAACAAACTCATGTCATAAGGACAATACTCCACAAGACCATTACTGTAAAAAGAGAAGGATAATTAGAATACATGTATGGGAACCCAAGGTGGGGAGGGGGCGAGCAGAGAGGTAAGGATAGGTAGGGGTGCAATCACAGGGTTGCATAGTTTGGAGGAGGGGAGGATCTGGGTGAAAAGACAGGGTAATTATGGGCAAGGTCCAATGGTGATTAATCTTATAAAATATAATGTGTGAGAATGATTGTATGAAACATAATATGAATGAAGAATAGCTTGAAACACAATCTATACAAACTTCGTAGGCAAATAAAAAAAGTTTGTTACTGCTACCATCAAATAGACATTTGTAACTCTTTCTGAGAGTTAAAAAAAATCCGCAAGGAAAATAATCACAATCATAAGCTTGAACATGTTTGTGGCTTGGGCTGGTGGCTCCTGTTTGGAGTTTATCATACTACCTATGTCTTCCATCTCAAGACTCACCTGAAGTTGGTGTAGCTCCAACTTTTTCTCAGTAACCACAAGTAAGTCTCCATATCTCCACTTAATACCCCTGGGATCTTCACACTTTGACTTGGTATTCTGTGCAGCATCTCTTGATTTATTTCAGGGCCTACTGTTATGGAAGACCACCAAATTCCAAACTGGCATTTGCCTCTGGCTTTGACAGGTGAAAGTGCTAGCTAATTAGATAAGTGTTAGGTAATTAATTACTCTGCGGAATTAATTGGACAAATGAACATGTCTGATTTCAGTGCTGAGTCTGTCAGCCAATGATCTTCATCACTAACTGTGCAGGTTATGATTTATAGACCCCGTGTAGAAACTCCCTTGGGCACTCCAGCAAGTGGTCATCATTTGGGGGAACTGCGGCGGCGTCTGGTGAAATCTATGAACTATAGTACTAATGAGTGTCTTCTCTGCACTTTGAAATGATTCTGCCAGTTTAGCTTGCTCTCACTCTTGGCGTAGCTTGTTTCTCAGTAATATTTGATTGACTGCACTGCAAACGGTCAGTCACCTGAAAGGGCCTGGAATGGGCTTAGTTTATTGGCACATGGCTACTGGCACACACAAACTCCAGCCCGGTCCCTGGACATTTTGTGAACAGAGGCTTGGTGCCAGGTGAAGCCCGTGACTCAGCACGGCCGTCTGATCAGCAGGGATCTGCCTCAACCCCACCAAGTCCCTGCTCCACAGAGGTTGGCCTAAGGCAGACACTCCACTTCCCAGCCTCTCCTTCCGCAGTGCCAGCGTTTTCATTTTCTCACTCCCACAGCAGTTTTCTTTCTGGCTTAATTTTGTTTCCAAATCTCTAATACTAGGGAAGAGAAATCAAAGCCCTGCAGTGTGACTGGCTGGCATCTCAGCTCTCCCCAGCTGTCACGCTTTATGCTGAGTCGGTGAGGCTTACACGTGAAGACTTGCTAGCATAGTCCCCTCCTAAACACACTCTACCCTCTTGTCACCATGAAGAGGAGAGAGGATGCTCTACAGGAATTTGGAGTTCCTTGAACCTTGTTGGAATGGATTAGACACCTTCCACATCGCAGGCACTGGACTGAATCCTGAGGACACTTGAGGACATGGGTGGTATGCATCCTAAGACTTTACACTCACGTGGGGCAGTGGCCAAGTAAAACTGGTGAAAGTTCCAAGAAGAAAACTGAAATGAGGATACCAGAGGCTTCTAGATTGAGTCTTGAGGAAGAAAATGTCCCCCACAATACTGTGTGTCGGGGTGAGGTGAGCATGAGGAATTGTGTCTCAGGAAGATCTGATGTTGACAAGGCCATTGCAAGGTTTGTTGTGTTTGTAGTAAAATCATTCATTTACCACATGCTGTAATTTTCACTTAATACGAGTTTAAATGTGCACTTTTCCCATTCTGGACAGTATATCATGTGAATGAAATTTATGTGTCACTTTATTTAGAGACACTATTTTAAAATCTGATTTTGATCAAATGTTCCCTTTCAGGTGTACAGTAATAGCCCTGAGGCCATTTCTTAATCCAATCAGATCAACCCCTTCCTTCTGGGCCTGTACTCTCTGCTTCTACTTGAATTGTCTATGAAGTGCCCACTGAATGGTACACCCCAAAATCAGCCTCCTGACCTGTGGGAGGAAGGGGTGGCAATGCCCAGGAAGACCACCGATTCTTTCCCTCTCCTCCACTCCCTGTGGCAGGTCTCTTGAGGTGGCATGATGGCCTAACAGTGTCCTCACCTCTGGTCCTCAGCACCTCTAATGCCCTATCAATAGGTTGAAAGAAAAATTACCGAAATTATTATCCATCTTGAACAGAGTATTTTTTCAATTATTCATTCAGCAAATATTTACTGAGCACACATGATGCCCCAGCAAGTCTGAGAAGCACTGGAGATACAGACATGAATGATGTTTCTGGCTTCTCTGATTTCTTCCACAGAAATTTTGATGTTCTATGAAAAGCGAAGTCATAATTTACAGCCCTTTTCACACTAGCCTTTCATACATTGAAACACACATATTGCATTTATCTTTAACATTTTCTTCTTCATGTCAAAGAGCTCAATCTTATTGACCCTTTTGATCCTTCCTGCAGTGCTGCTTTTCTCACACATGGACTTGAAGCTGCCTCAAATCCTTTGTGAAAAAGGGGAGGCACCGAGTAAAACACACAGCCATTTGCTTTACTGTGCGGAGGTGCTGCAGTTTAACGCTGTTATGCTCTGTGCTGTGAAAATACACTTTGGTTTCTACTCCTTTTTGCTCTTTTCCTGTAGGCTCACTTTTCTGGGAGTTGGAACAGAATTCAGTTATTTAAGACTCCCTACACCTACATTGTTACCCATACTCTTAACAGTATCTACACATTTTTGGTTTAAAGCATCTCATTTAGCTGACTCAGTTTCCTTCAGACACATGCTCAGTCTATCTTATTTCCTTCCTTTGCCAGTGCTCCTATTCAAGATGGCTCCTACTGAATAGGATGAATGGGAGAGACTCAACTTCTAGATGGTGAGGAAGAAGAGGGATCCTGGTCCATATGTTCAGCTTCTTGTGCTGTCTTTTGACTCCATTGTAAAGTGACAGGTCAAGCATAGTCCACTACATCCTTGTGAGGGATTTGTGATTGGTTGATGTGGTTCTTGATTTAGACCTCTGATCTT